CACCCACAGCAAGCCGCCGACATTGCCCTCCGCATCCTCCAGCACCTCTTCACAACCCTCAGCAGCCCCAGCACCCCCCACCACTGGGACGCCCAGGCACGCCATCGCCTCCTCAACAACCTCCAGCATTACAAGCACAACCTGGAGCAATGCGTGCCAGCCAACGGCATGCTCTTCCAAGGCCAAGGGCCCCGCAACCTCCTGCTCAACATCAGCAGATACTTCAGGCACATCCAGGACTTCCTCCACACCCACAACCACAGCGCCTGCGCCTGGGACCACGTCCGCCTCGAAGCTGGCGCCTGCTTCCAACACCTCCACAACCTCACCCGCACCATGAGCAACTAGCCCAACCACCCCGACCAACCCGCACGGCCCCACGCACCCCCACCCACGACGACGCCACCGCTTCTCGACCACCGCCCCATCCCCACCTCTGTCCTCCCGCCTCCCCTGACCCACGGCAAGAGCCGCTGCAAGAACGGCCCTGCACCCTCCGCCTCCACTGACCGCTCCTCTATTTATAGAACTTGGTCTATTTATTTTGACAATGGGTTTTATCTATTTATTCACCTATTTATTCGACAGAAAATAAAGACCTGTTGCAAAAAGATTGCCGGTGCCTCTTGTCTCAGAAGCACAGGAACGAGCCTGCGGGGTGGGGGGAAGCCACCTCCACTCCACACCTGCTCCGAGCCCTGCTCCCAACAGGGCTCTGCAGATCCCGTGCCCACTCTTCTCTTTGGCACCTCCCCAGCGAGGCGCTTCCCTCAACCTCTTGCAAAAACCTCTGCCAGGGTTTAGCCGCCGTCGTCAGAATCAGCTCTTCGGCCCTCGTTCTCCTCAACATTTTCCACCTTCCACCCCGCTTTGGACCGACTGATGATCAGCTGCTCTGCAGCCCTCAGTACAAGCAAGACGCGGACCTGTTGGAGCGCCTCCAGACGAGGGCCACAAACACGATCAGAGGGCTGGGACACCTCTCCTGGGGGGGAGTTGGGGTTCTTCAGCCTGGAGAAGAGAAGGCTCCGGGGAGACCTTATTGCGGCCTTTCAATACTTAAAGGGGGCTTATAAGAAAGATGGGCGCAGACGTTCTAATAGGGCCTGTAGCGATAGGACAAGGGGTAACGGTTTTAAACTAAGAGAGGCCAGATTCAGACTAGACTCAAGGAAGACATTTTTTACCGTGAGGGGGGTGAAGCGCTGCCACAGGTTGCCCAGAGAGCTGGTGGGTGCCCCATCCCTGGAAACATTCAAGCTCAGGTCGGACGGGGCTCCGAGCAACCCGACCTAGTTGAAGATGGCCCTGCTCATTGCTGGGGGGTTGGACCGGACGACCTTTAAAGGTCCCTCCCAACCCAAACTATTCCATGATTCTATGATTCTAATAGAGAATTCAAGGCTAGATATACAGTTAATGCCAGGCAACAGGGTTCTGTGGAAAATAAGTCTGTTTAACAAAAGTCTGTTTAATTCTTAGAGATTGTTTGGCTGATAAAGCTAATAGTGAGTAGAGAATTCAAGGCTAGATATACAGTTAATGCCAGGCAACAGGGTTCTGTGGAAAATAAGTCTGTTTAACAAAAGTCTGTTTAATTCTTAGAGATTGTTTGGCTGATAAAGCTAATAGTGAGCACATCACAGAATTAAATCAGGGAGTACAACAGAATAAATGCAGAACTCACCATTAGCTGAGCATGCACTACACAGATTAACAACTGCCAACATCCTCCCCAAAACAACTGTTTATGGTGAGGTTCTGCAGGATCAGTATCAGGCTCAGAAGTGTTGAACTGTCTCAGCAATCTGGAAATAAGTACAAAGTTACCGCAGAGAAAATGTTTTGTGGAAAAGGTTGGAGGAATGGAAAATAACAATGGGGTTAAGGTGGCTATACAGAGCAATTTCAGATTCTGGTCACATGAAAATGCATCACCTTTTTCATACAGCCAAATTACAAGGTGAGAAAACTTGGACCAAGGGCTGCAGGGGGCACCTACAGAAGAGGGTCTGTCTCCAGGCATGCACCGACTCTAAAGGATGGTTGAGCAGTCCAACATGAATTCCCAGGATGATGCTGAGACACGAGAGACTAATGCAGCCCGTGGATGTTAGGAATTTTAATGGCCTGGGCTATACGAAGGCTAGACACAATGATATCATTACCCTTTCTGCTTTCAATGCCATGAATCAATGAATGGCATCTATACCAGAAAGGCTTGCTTCCACAACTGAAATGGCAACCCTTTCAAGTACAAATGTTGCTGAAGCCTTGCTTCTGCATGCATATTAACACAATCTAACGCATTGGATCACATTTCTAGACAGCATCAGTTTCACCCCATGTCTAAATGCAGCACCAATCCCTGGTATGCCCAAGGGTAACATCTCTTGAGACAACCCCACTTTGCATCCAAGATTTTCAATTGTTCCACTATAACTAGAGAGAATTCCTAATTCCCTGCAAACTCAACTCAAACCTGAAAGTCAAGCTTGGTTTCTTTGTGCGGAGTCTCTCCCTTACAGAGTCTGGGTACGACTGGATTACGTTGTCTCTCTGAGGCTACTGGAGTACATTTTGGAGAAAGGTAGTGCTGTTGATGCAAGTGCCATGGGTTAAGGCTGTAACAACAGTTTGCAGAGAAGAGCAGTATTTTTATTAGACTAAGTGATGTAACTGGGGGAAAAAACAGGCAGAAAGAAAATACAAACTTCAGACTAAATAGTGAAAAACTGCTCTGAACTTCAGCTCAGTTGGACTAATTGTCCAATGAGTCTGAGGGGCAAGGGTTGGTAGTCTGGAAAGTAGAAGAGAGTGTTAGCAAAAGGAGGGAAGATACACTGCAGCCCAAGCCTGTGAAGAATAGATGGTTTTCATTTCTTGTCTGTAACACAGAAGTAGAACAGACTTCTGAACCAGGAACAGGGTGATATTCTTAACACAAATGGCTTCCCCCCAATCCCAAATGTGACTGGCAAGTAGAATGCCAAAGCACCAGGATGGTGTTTTCCAGCCCGTGGTACGTGGACTGCAGGCTATTTAAGAAATCTGTAGTTGGTGACTGAGAAAAGCAATCCTGAAGTAAGTGTAAACATACACTCCGGCAGGATTTGCACCTGCTCTGGATTATTCTTTAGTAACTGGAAAACTGAAAAGGTCGCAAATCCTTGTAACAGCAGATAAAATCCTGACACAGGCAGTAGGAAGAATTTGCCTGCCAGGCCTGGTCAAACCTTTGGTGTGTTTAGTGCAGGGTCTCCTCTCCAAGCCTGATGTACTGAGTATTTGGAGCAAGGGTCTGTGTCCCCGAGCCTCCATCAGTTTATTCCTTTAGCTGTCTTCTGGAAGCTTTGGCAGTGAAATATGCCATTTTCTCATTTATATTTACTCCATGTACAGCAGAGAGGAGTCTACAATGCTTTTGTCCTAGTATCCTTGTTTAATTTTCTCCTATTCCAAATGCTCCTGGGCTGGATTATGTGTGATATTCGGAGACACACTCCAGCTGGCACCACACCATCTGACTACAGCATCCCAAGAGCTCTCAGCCTTTGTTGTTGCTTGCTGTACATCAAATATCCATCTTGATTAGCAAAGGATTGCCAAGTCATGATGAAAGAATGCTAATAATACTGATTAAATCTGTACAGATTATGGAGCTGCAGACATGTTTGTCGCAAAGCTTGTGAAACTTTGTTTAGAGCTGTAATTAATTCCCTCCCCCCAGTAGTAATAAAACAAAATATCAAGAGCTGCCTCAAGAAAATCAACACTACCCGTGCACTGTTTCATCTGAATTTCAATTTAGCTCTAAAGGACCCTCCATCTTGTCGGGAAAAGATGGGAAGAGGGAGACCTTGCTGATTCCGAGCAGTAGGAACTGTCATAGCTCCGGCCCATCTATGTAATACATATCAAGGTCAGTCCAGGATGCAGGCTGCTTAAATCTGTCTACTCTGTCTAAGCAGAGAAGGCAGAGGCATGAACAACACTGATTAATTTTCATATATTGCTTAGGGTAAAATGAGATTTGATGCCCTCTCTACTCAAGTCGAGAGTATGGGCTCAAGGGATAGAGGATGAGCAAACAGCACTAAAGGAAGTAAGACCACAGAAAAGGTCAAAAACCATGGGACGTATCAGTGGAGGCACCGGGGGCTGAACTAACAGTCTGCTATCTGGTGCCCCCATCACCTCCACCAACCCTCCCTGCTCAGCAGAGCGTCGAGCAAGGACCAATTTCCACACAGCCTAAGTGAGCCCTGCCTTAAAATGCCAGGCCTTACAAAGAAGGGATGCCAGAAGGGTCGAACTGCTACATTCTGGGCAACCAGAGATGCTGTACAGAATGGGAAAAATGCACAGCAGGAAAAAAAGAAAAGGGAAAAAGTTCTTTTTTTTCCTGGCTCACAAGCTGAAACTCCTCTTCTTGGGGAGCCAAGCAACCTTCCTTTCTTGCCATCTGTCCTGTCACCGTTCAGTTTGGGTTGCCAGAAGCTGCACCAAGTGCTCTGACATACCTCTGCTGTGCCACCTCCTTGCCGTTCTCCGTTAGTTCCTAGCATGCTCTCCTTGCCCTTTTCCTCCTGCAGTGCAGCTATCCTTTGTGCTGGGAGTCCTCCATGTCAATGGGGTGCCTCCCTGCGTCCAGCCTGGCAAAAGAGTGTAACACTTATAAGAAGTTAATGTAAGCCTAGAATTGGTTCCAATTTCCTGACCACTCAGGCATTGGTCTCAGCAATTGTGGAGAGAGAACGTGAAGGAGCCTTTTGATTCTCTAGTCATGTGGATTGTTTGGGATATCAAATAGGTCTGGAATGAAGCCCCCAGGAGAACAATAACGAGAGAAGGAACAAGGGAGCTCTAGAAAGCCCAGAACCCGTGTCGCCTCTGCCTGAACACTGTCCGGAACCGAGGCACCAAACCTAATGAACATAATCTGGCAACCTGAACAGGCTTTAATCTGTGACATAATCACTCCTGCCAAAACCCTGTAGAGGAGAAAATAAAAGCCACCTTTAGGTAAAGAGGTAAAATCTAAAAAAACCCAGAGCTCCTGGTTCAAACCGCTCCTTCGGCCAGGGAGACAGGAACCGAGCCATGATTCTGAACGTTCACCCCCTTCCCAAACCCATCCCGCCAGGGCCCAGGCTGCGCCCGCGGGCGCTGGGCCTCTGCTTCCCCGCGGCCTGACAGAGCGCTGAGGCGGGGCCGCCTGGCCCCCCCGGAGGCCCTCCCCGGCGGGCTCCG